CTCCCACAGGTCAGAGGTGTTTCATCAGTTGCTGTTGATGGCATCACATACAAGTGTGTCCCACAGGTCAGAGGTGTTTCATCAGTTTGTATAGTCGAGTCTTAGCTTGTCATACCGAGATGTGTTGTTGGTCCTTGAAACTTCCTGGAAATAAGATAAATAACTATACGTACTGTATAATACACAACACTGCACTGTAAAACTATTATATTATAGACAGGGGTTATTTGACCAGCATCCGGCTTAATAACCACGGGTTATTTGACTGGGATTTAAAATAAAACGGTACTTTTGGCCACAGAAAATTATAATATTTTTACTACAATGTACAGTATTGTGTCGGCAATAGCCAAAAAAGGGTAGTCTGGCGGTCGGCCCAGTCTCTATTTCAATTAATCCCATATGTTCTGGTATTATATTTACGCGTTTCGCTTTATACGCGGACCTCCACGGGTTTAATTAACAGCGTAAAACCAGACTATACTTTTACTTTTACTTTTATCCTCTTCGCCACTGATCGGCTTGTTAGGCGCTTGGGCGATCGGTCACGTCTCTTTTCCTTTATATTCTTCACCAAAAGGTCGGCTCGCTAGCCGCCCGGGCGATCGGTCACGTCTCTGTCACGCACTGTTGGCAAATACTGGGCATGCACCGGCTCCTGAATGTACCTGAACCCGCTCCAGTGTTGGTCAAGTCTTCTCTTGAAAGAGCTCACACTCAGTGCCGTCACAACACTCTGGTAGATTGTTCCAAGAGTTTACAACCCTCACTCCGAAAAAGTTTGCCCTCACGGTTTTCTGGACTTGCGGCTTCTTCAATCTTGAGCTGTGACCCCTTGTGGGGCGAGCGTCCGCCAGCTCCAATTAAGGACACTCAACTGAGTAGTGCCCCCTGAGATGCTTATAAACCTCAACTAGGTCCCCCCTTGCCCGTCTGTAGTATAAGCTAGGCAAGTTCTATTGTATATATTTTTTCTCTATCTATGATCATAAATTGCCAATAGTAGGCAGGGCATGAAAGATGAGTAAAAGCCCATGCACTGTTACAAGATAACCCCTTAAATCAAGTTACTTCAAATGTTCACAACCAAAGCATCAGCAGGTGTTCAGTTTTCTGGGTTAGGCAGTATAGTACTGCCACTAAGGCAACAATGAAGAACAGATTTCATAGACAGCCATGGTCAGCTATACAAGAGGAGGAAGGGTGTGATTATACATTCCTGTGCAGAAACTAGAGTCTTGTAAATATTTATGACTTCTGTGTCAATTATTTTGATAAATGTTTAGACCAGTTAGTAACAGAGAGCGTTCACAGTCTACAGCACCAAAATCAATTCCAAGAAGTTCTTCTAAAAGTAAAAAAAATTATTAACAACTTCAACTGTCAGGGCTGAAATGGACAGATACCTGACATTACAGTTGATGGAATCCTTTAGACGAGTTGAAAACCATTAAGAACACATTTGCAATATTCCTTACAAACAAACATCTTTCTTCTCCACCTTCATCAGTGGAAAGTGAAATATTATTTATCAATGATGGTGGTAATGTATACACTCCACATGCTAACACTGGCAAGACATTCAAGTTTGTAAAATACAATATGATTATTTTCAACTTTGGTAACTGAATAGTTATGTCATTCAAGTTCTTGTAATTGTTTGAAATATTTAATTCCAACCTAGGCTTGTGTGTTGAAAGGTCCAAGAAAATGTAGCTGTGTAATCATATTAAAAGCTACTGGTAGTCCACTACTGTACAGTATATTGCATTCTTCAATAATTAGCCAACATGGAATACAGTCTCTCCCCGACTTACGACGGGATTAAGGACCCAATTCCAGGTCTTAAGTGAAATTAGTCAGAAGTAGAAAATGCAAAAATAATGAATAGAAAATCTAAAATGGGTCTCTTTTTGTTCTCAGCACCAGAAAACTCTCACTTTTAAGCATGCCAGCCATTTAAATGGAATTACAAACGACAATTTTGTCAGTACACAGCGCAATCACTAACGTTGGGACTCGAAAATACGTAATTTGAAAAATTTTTGGTACGACTGGGGCGGTCGTATGTCCGGGTGGTCGTAAGTCGGGTAGGTCGTAAGTCGAGGAGTGGCTGTACTCAGATAATAATTACTGTACCTATATGTGTGTAGTTTAATAATTTATGAATTGATTTATGCATAAATTAATGTTGCGAGCTGATTTATAATGAATAAAGTTAGTGTTCGCTTGTATAACTGGTTTTATTTTCAAATGGTTTCATTACACAAATTACTCTATGAACCTGACAACAGGCCGGCAAATAACTTGAGAGTTGATAAACAACAACCCGCAAAAGACGCCACAAATAAATCAAGTACAAGAACATACACCTCACTTATTAAACAATACTACTTGAAAGAAATTGGAAATGTATCAAAACCCACATTACGGGATTCCATTCCAACAATATGATTCTCATCATGTATACTGTTCACAGAATAGGTTTAAGATCCTATTGTACCTAAAGAACAAAAAGGATTTACACAGACAATAGGCTCATGAATCTGGACAGTGATGTTTATAAGAACATGTGTTTGGAAGACTGTTGATGGCCAAATAACCATCGGCTATTTGACCATGCCAGCTGGCCAAATAACTATCGGTTATTTGACTGGGACCAGCTTGGATTGTTCATGATATTACTATTACACCCACCTCTCGTTTTACGCAGGGGTTACGTTCTTGAAAACCACCGCTTAATTAAAAAATGCGTAAATTTAAAAAAATTTCCCCATAAGAATAGTAAATGGTACAAGTTAGGAGAACCATCATATACCGCACAGGGTAAAAACAGTGCTCTCACTTAAACCAAGCACGCGGCCAACTTCTGACACGCTCTCCACTCTGAAGGCTGGTGATCACAATTAATTTCACGTCCATTGCGATTGTTTTTCGTGCCTTTCTAGCTTAAGGCGCCCCAGAGGAGACAGATGAACGTTTTCCAGACATGTTCAATGGGGAAAACAGCGTTTAAAACTAAAAACGTACGTGATAAACACACAATACAGAAAAAATGTAGTGTTGGTGTGAACTGTGAAAGTGATATGCGCGAAACTTGCTGGACTAGTCATTACACTATTATTTAAACGTTGAGTATTTATCACTATCTTCTTTAATTATCTTCTGATACTCCGAAATTTCCCGCCTCTCTCATAGACATATAATAATGTAGGTCGGGTTGGGTTAGGTAAGGTCAGATCACATATTTTTTTAGGCCTATACAGCACCATAACTGTTTTACTTTGAGGTGTTGGTTTTCTTAACAAATTGATTTATAATTTAACCTCATCTTACCTTCCTTGTATCCTTAATTTTGTATGTAGTATCATTACAGTATTATTTCTATTTGATCGATCTCTGTTTTATAACAGTTTGAAATTGACAATAAATTATTATGTAGAATTTTCCGAGACCAGAAGTACTTAGTATTATTTCAGAACCCTTCGAGACATTTGGTCATGTATGAGAACACCGCTGCCACCAGAAGGAGTTGTTCAGTTTTTCCACAGATGTTCTTATCACTATAGTACGTAGGTAAAACTTCAGTTTGTCATCCCTATGTTTTTCTGAGAGTTTTGTTTTTCTGAGAGTTTTGAAGTGTTTTGAATGATTTTGATCTCACCTAACCTAACCAAATAACCCAGGAACTATATCTTACCTAACCTAAATTCCTAAGACGACAAAATCTTAAATAATACCAGTACGTATTTTAAAAGAGGCGACATTTACTAGAACCTAATAGAACGTGACCTAACCGACCAAAGATACCTACCTAACCTTATCTGACTGCCTGGCTGGCCCCCACCGCCATATTAAACAAGGTACAGTTCTTATTTTATATCTGCTACCACTGAAAATATCATTGTTGAAACATCATGGTGAATTTTATATTTTTTGAGGATGTGAGCGTATACTTCAACTGAGCGGGTCGGCTGTAAACAGAGGCACACAGTGACTCAGCAGATTTGTTCGGAATATGAATTACAGTAAATAATTAATTCCCTCATGTACAAAGCACCTAGAGATATTATAGTGTCATATGATCAGTTTTATACCGTGTTTTACCCCACAATTCACCTCGTCCTTTACACCCTGCCCACGACAGGTGCTATATGATTATAGATAATAAAAAAATAAATAAATAAATACAAAAATACTGTAAAAATTTAATTTATCCATAATGTCAGAAATACCTATTGGGATAAAAACGAATATTAACCAAAAAACTTATAATTAAAATAAAAAGTTTTTGTCTCCTTTAAAATACTATCATAATAACATCTGTGGCAGCGGTGTTCTCATAAATTACCAGATATTTTTTCAACGATACTTATAATTTATTAGTTATTTAAATTATATTAGTAATATCAATCGGTAAATCCAAACGTACACATTAGATCACACACAAACATATTAAATAATTATTCATATGGTATAATAAAGCAGATGCAATACATATCAAAATTATACATAAACCACAGTAAAACAGTTAATGGCTATATGACCGGTTAGCAGTCAAACAGCCCCTGCCTACTGTTAACCCCCCCCCCATATAAGGCTCTCTATCTTACACCACCATAATCCCTGGCCATAACTCCACCATATTAATACACAGTTAAATCCTGACAATACAATATTACAGCAATACAAAACCAAATTTCCTCAAGACACATTCGCCATGTTTACAAGCGAGTGTAAAGACTGAAATTTATATATGAAATTACCTAAAGTGATTAAATTACACTAAAATATAAATAATTATCATAAATGGTATATATTTTGTTGTTTATTTACATATATGGATATTAAAGAAGGAAGAATATCAAAGGAAATGTTGAAATAACTTCTCACCTCCGTCCACGCCGCCATTGTGTTAGCTGCTGGCTGACTTGGGAAGACGTCCGACAAAACAAAAAATGCTGAAGAATTACCACGAACAAAACCGCTAAATAGTTTTTTTTCTTGCTTGAACATAGATGATATTAACCAATAAAACCATATTTAATGTACTTAAAAACTCTTTTACGATCATTAAATTAGTTTTAATTAGTATAAAATAATTTTACTTGTGTCTTACGAAGAAAAATAGATGATACAGAAATAATGTTCGTAGTATAATTTTAACATTATGACTAATATGATTCTATACCTTCGCTTCAATTTCACCTATTCTTCAACTACTCAAAAAACACCTCTAACACCTGTATTTTAATAAAGTATTGCTGTATTACCTTGATGAAAACAACAAATTCCAGAAGTAATAACATAACTGGGTCATCAGGCCAAATTCTTTTACTCACAACCTGTCCTTTTAAACTTGGTGTTGTCTTCGAGGGATTTAATTGTACTCATAATGATTCCAGGTGACTCATAGGAAAGCCTGAGGAAATCCCCGAGGAAAGTCCCAAAGAAACCCCCCAGGAATGCCCCGAAGAAAGCCCCAGGAAAGCCCCGAGGAGAGCCCCAAGATAGCCCTGATGAAAGCCCCGAGGAAAGTGCCAGGAACTCCCCCGAAAAGCCCCGAGGAGAGCTCCAGGAAAGCCCCAAAGAAAACTCCAGGAATGCCCCGAGGAAAGCCCCGAGGAAAGCCCCGAGAAAAGACCCAAGAAAGACCCGAAGAAAGCCCAGGAAAACCCGAAGAGCCCCGGGGAAAGCCACAGGAATGCCCTGAAGAAAGCTCCAGGAAAGCCCCGAGAAAGCCACCAAGAAAGGTCCAGAAATGCCCCGAAGAGACTCAGGAATTCCCGAGGAAAACCTGAAGAGAGCCCTGAGGAAAGCCGTAGGAAATGCCCACAAATGCCCCGAGGAAAGTCCCCCAAAAGCCCCCAGGAAAGTCCAAAGGAAAGTCCCAGTAAAGCCCCAGAAAACCCCCAGGAAAGCCCAGAGGAAAGCCCCAAGAAAGCCCTGATGAAAGGCACGGATGTTATAAAGAAATGAACGTGTGTAATAAAGTACAGTAATGTACTTTTGATATAAGCAAGAGAAACGGATTGAGATCTTAGTTTAATTATTGATACAATTTCGTTATTACAAGTATTATTCAAATAAATAAAAGTCGTTTTAAGAGAATAACTAATTGCATTTCACCTAGAATTATATGAATTATCAGAAAATTTCTTACATTTCATTCAAGAACTAATTACTGTAGATAATTAGGATAACCAAGGAACTAAATTTGTAAATAAATGATGAAAACAAATAAGAATAAAAAGAATTACAACAACAACTATGTGAATTAGAGAAAAATAAATGAAGAAACGAGTGAATGGTAGGTGTATAAAAGTGTATGAAGGATAAACAGATAATGAAACAGCTTTTGGAAGGAGAATGAAGAGATACAAAAAAACATTAATACACCTCAAAGGGATGAAGTGACATAAGTCATCCTCACCCCAGTCCAGGAATGTCCCTCTCAGGACTCACATAAATCCCTAATATTTCATATAATTAGTTATAATACATAGTTATATTCTAGATGCAAAATTTCTATATTTCTTTAATATTTCATCTATTTTCCCATTTCCAAACATCCACTCTATTTGCATGGGGACATTATTTATATGGGCATTTCTATATACATTAAGCAATGGGCATTCCAGTATATAATGTGGCAGGGTATGGGATCTGGATGTTCTACAAACTCTACATTCTTTATCCTGTTCACTTCTCTCAGCTCCAAGTTCCCAATAATATTTATATCCTAATCTTAACCTCATATACACCGAATCTTTCCACCTACTCCTATCTTTCCCATATGTAAATTTTGTGTTCATGAGAACATGATGGTAATGTTTCATTGTTTCACTTTTCTCGTATATTTCATTCCTTTTGAAATTATCTTCTATTGATTGTATTTTCCGTAATTTGCTCCTTAATTGCTTCAAGGTTTTAGTACATACTATGTCGATCTCGGCCTTTTCCGTGGCTCTTTTTGCTATTATATCTACTACTTCATTAAGACCAATCCCCACATGTGAAGGGACCCATACAAATTGAACATTATGGCCATTTTTCCTTATTGTATTTACTAATTTTCTACATGAACCAATAATGTGTCCAAAGACTGGACTCCCACTGTTCAAAGAATCCAAAGCTGCCCTACTATCAACAAAAAAATATGCATCTTTATACCTCTTTACAACATTTTCCAATCCTACTAACATTGCATATAACTCAGCTTGTGTTGATGAAATAAAACTGCTCAACCGAAGTCATCATTTCCTTGTTCTGTGTACTGTCTTATAAGGATCCCGCACCCAGCCCTGCTACTTGACATAACTGAACCGTCACAATATAGGCTACATGCAATGTGTTTATTTTAGGCAAATTACTAATCTTATTCCCATATAAAGTCCTTAACTGTCCTGGTTCATGTAATGATTTCTTCATTGTGAGAGGCACTATGTCTAACTCTACTTCTCGTTCTTCCCAGGGTGGATTCTTACAACTCTTCTGAACAGCTGTACACCAGTCTGCCAGATTACATTTTTTAATAATATTTACTAATCCATTCATGTATCCTCTCTTGCCTTGCCTGCAGAAGGTCCTTTTATCTTTTAAACCATCATTTATATCTTGTACAAATTTACTCCCACTGTTCCCTCTCATTAATCGAACTGCTGCAACTGTATTAATTTCATTGACCCTCTGTGAAATGCTCTGTAACCCTAGTTCCATTTTCATTATCTCAATCATTGCATTCTTTTGACACCCTAAAATTATTCTCATTGCTTCATTTTGCATGATCTCAAGCTTCCGTAGCCTTCCTTCACCAGTACAAGAGAGGACAGGTGCTGCATAGTCTATAAGTGATCTGATGGTAGAAATATACATCATTCTCAGTATGGGTACCCCAGCACCTTTACCACAACATGCTAGAGCCTTCAAGGGCTGTAATCTTGCTCTACATTGAGTGAGGACATGATATATTTCTGCCTCTTTACTTTCACTAGTAAAGCCAATATACATTCCTAAATATTTATACTTTGACACTTTCTCAACAATTTTTCCATCTAGAAAAACGGATTCAGTTCCTCTTCCTTTACATTCACACTTGGTTTTTTCTTCATTGATAACTAAGCCCATCTTTTGAGAAAGAGCACTAAAATTATTTAACGCAATCTGCAAATTTTTTACAGAGTTTCCTTGAAATAAGATGTCATCTGCATAAATGATGGTTACAACTCCTTTGGGATATTTGTGTGAGGCTATCTTGTTCATTAACACATTAAATAACATTGGACTCAATACTCCCCCTTGGGGAGTGCCTAGTTCAAGTGCTCTTTCCTCAGGCAAACATCCCTGATACCATACACAGATTCTCCTTCCATGCAAGTAGTCACCTATCCAGTGTAACAACTTTCCTGATACCCCTAGAGCAGCCAGTTCATTCATAACTACTTCACTGTGAGCTTTATCAAATGCTCCTTGTAAATCCACAAAAACTCTACATCTGTCTGCATCATTTGATAAACATTTTATAACACAGTCTGAAGTACATTTCCCTTCCAAAAAACCAAATAAATTACAAGATAGATTTTCCCCCACAATATATACAAGCCTATTTAATAATACTCTCTCCATCATCTTGGAAAAACAAGATGTTAAAGACACTAACCTGTATCCACCAGTTGCCTTAGGGACAGGAATAACTATCGCTTTCTTCCATTCTGTTGGTAATCTACCCTCTGCATTGCTCATGTTGAATAAATCTAATAATGGACTATTTTCCATACCAACTAAGCAGTTCAAAATTTCATATGTCACACCATCTTCGCCTGGTGCTGTAGATTTTCCTTTTTTAACAGCATTTAATAACTCATCTTGAGTAATATCTACACATGTTACATCACAAATATTTAGAGCTGATGAAATAAATCTTTTTCTTTCATTTTGCCACTCATCTAATGCTTCTATTGTCCTGTTAGGCAGGGAGGCAACACTAGCTGCTTTAGCCCATTTGTCAACCAGTTTATTAGCTTCTTCCTCTGGATGAGGATGGCTAATAAAATTACTCCTTTTTCCTCTAATTTTGTTAATATCCTGCCATATTTCTTTGAGATTTTTACTCTCCCCAATGTGCTGTGCAAAATCTTGCCAATATTTCTCCCTTGCCTCCTTCCTAGCCTGCCCACATATTTTGGCTATATCCATGAAGATTTCCCGATCTTCTTCTCTTCTACCATTCTTTACCCAATCTTTATGTGCTGCCCTTAACATTTGTGTCCATCCCTTCAACATTTTGTCATTGGTATAGCAGTGTTTCCTAGCCCCATGTGTCTTATCATTTATTTTTTTCTGTGTTGACTTAGTTAAATATCTTTCTATCTCCCCAACTAAGTCATTATAAAAGCTATCCATACAGACTGGTGTATAATTTCTGCACCATTTCTCTATTTTGGGTAAACACTTCTGTGTCATCCTTGTTTAGTTTCAATCTCTTCCTCCTATATCTCACCTGTCTCTTCCCTAATGGTAATTGAACATACACAACAAAATGGTCACTGACTAGCTCCCTTATTATCTCACATTCTCCCTGGACTCCATGACTGCATATCATGCAAGCATAGTCTAACCTTCCTCCTTTAATATGAGTCACTTCCTTATTTCCTAACAAGTAAGCATCTGGGTGATCTTGTAAAAATTGCCAAAATTTTATACCATTACTATTAATTCTCCCCATTGTTTCGAGTCTTGGATGTCGAGCATTAAAATCTCCTACAGCCAAAGTTGAGTCCAAAAACATGCAATCTGGTAAGAAGTTGAGGTCAAAACAGCCTCCAGAAATATACAAATTTGCTATGTTCAATTCTCCTTCCTTCAAATATAACTTTATACAGACACTTTCTATTCCTTGTACTCTACTCGGGCTTCCAACTAGTTCTGCTGGTATGGAATTCTTAATGTATGTTGAGACCCCTCTTATACCTTCACCCGAATAGAGATGAAATCCCTTATATCCAGACAGTTTAAACAGGTCGC